CGCCACCATCAAGACCAGAAGCCGCCCCTTTCATCAAAGGCGGCGAAGCATGGCCCTGTGAGTGCCCACTGAGGGAAACAGGGGCCACCTGCCCATGCTTCTCCCCCTCCTCAACGCCTAAGCCTACGTCCTAAGCACGCACCGACACGTGTACCACTTGACTAGGTGGATGCGCCACCAGGGTCTCAATCTTGGCCCCAGCAAAATCAAGAGGAGGTAACAAGCTCTCGAAAAGATCATTACTCTCGACGCAATCACTCCAGAGTCTAGGAGGTGCGGAAGCAGCCTCAAAAGAACCAAATCTCAACGAGTTCATAGGCGTGGAGTTAGGTAAAGGTGCACCTTTCCCTGGCGCAGCCGAAGTGTGATTTGCACCCGGTGTGTGAGACTTATCTCGCCCACTGTCCTCCTCATGCCGCTCCTTATTGCCCGAGCCATCATCCTTCTCAGTCATATCCACATCCTCACCTGTCATAGCCTCCGTGAATAACTCAGAGTCCTCAAGCTCAATCTCTAGGTTGTAGAGCATGCCCGCATGCGCCCATCTAACCACATCCGGCATGAACTCGATATCCACAACACTGACGAGCAACCGCGCCACCCTGTTTGCCCGAGTAAATGGCATGTCCACCCGCTCAGTCTTCCCAACGAGTGTCCCCAAGCTTGCCATGACCCTAACATCATTCAGAAGCTTAGACGGTGCCCCTGAGAACTGTAACCAAACCTGAGGAAGGGGCGTACCCTTTGGCTCGACCTTCTTCCACTCATCAAACTCAAGGATGCACTCCGTGCCAGGCACCCTACACATACCAAAGCTCAAGAGCTTCTTCAGGTCCTCTGCTGAAGGAAAGTTTACCTTGTACACATTGGCATCAAGTCTGATAAGCTCCCACTGAAAGTTTCCTGGAACAAGCTCATTTAACCTCTGTAAGATCTGTGCCTCTGACAAGTCACCTTTAGCCACCTTGACCACTCCCGTGGTCGCACTCTGCAGCGGCTCTTGGACCGACACCGCACTAGGAGACTCAAAGAACATCAGTTTGGAGCAGCAAACTCCGTAAATGGTGACTCCCGGCATCGGCTCACGCAACAACGGACACTCTCCTGTAGCATGCACCGGTTTGAGGCACGTGTCACAAAGCTCTGTAGTGCATTCTGCAATAAAGTGGCCTTGCTCACCACAATGATAACAAAGCATTTTCTCCTTCTTACGAGCTCGATCACCATCCGGCTTCTCAGCCACTTTGACGGCGCCCACCACAGTAGGCTCAGCCTTGGGCACCGCCGCAGTAGCAAGAGCCATCACCGCGACCATGACCTGTCCTGACAAAGCTGGCGCCTGCACAGACGCAACCACCTCCGAAGGAGCAAGCGGCTCTGTGGCGTCAGAAACAGTAGCAGCGGGCGGGGGAGGTTGCCAGTGACGATACTTGCCTCCCCGGCCTCCGCAATGACCTCGGTAGCCACCGCGTTGCCTGTAATCCGGCCCTGACACACCCTCAACAAAGCCACCCGGAGGGCCGTAGAACGGACGATTAATAGTTCCATCACTTTGCCATGCATATCCACGCCCGCCGTCCACCGACGACGAACCCCGATGCTGGTCGTCACCATAAGCATCATATCCATCATCTCCCCACTGGCCTCGAGGGGGTCCACGACCACCGTAGGCGAACTCACTACCTCGGTTCGCCGGGAAACGAGGCGGACCCGAACCATTACCGCCCCTAGGCACCGCCGGCGCTGCCCTAACCGCGGGTGGCAGCACTGCACTGTGTGGGGTTGGAACGGGCACCTGCTACGTCGGCACCACCCGGTTCTGCGGCGGCTGCGCGTCGTGGTGCTGCAGCGGCGCAGGCCTCGGTGCCGCCTTGGGCTGCGGCTGCGCAGGCTTGGGGGGCTGCCCAGCGCCCCGACCAGCCATGGCAGCCTTGGGCCGAACCCTAGCAGCTCTCTCGTGCGCAAGTTTCAAGAATCCGGACACAACGATCCGGCGAACCCTAGCTTTTGCAGACGGGTGGAGCGACGGACTGAGGACTGCAGGAATAGTCGAACCACAGGTCGAATCGATCCCATGCACGTCAAAGTAATCGCTGACTCTCTGATCGGTCTCCTGGCTAGGACCATGGGCCTCATACCCAGTCCTAGCGAGGCCCGACTCAGCGTTGCGAAGCAACGGCCCATCACGGCCCAACAGAAAATTCAAACGACGCGCTCGGGCAGCTCCGATCCCGATCCCCGCAATCTCCGGCGAAGAAGCCGCTTGCGCTGCCGGCGCCCGTCCAGCCGCCGTCCGGCGGCCTTTCTTCCTCCTCACGACCAAGGTCCAGGAATCTGGACGAACCATACCGAAAAGCGTGAGTTTGGGCATACATACCTTGGGGAGAGGGCCCTTCCATGGCCTGATCGCCGACGCCGCCGTCCTCCGATGAACGACCCGCCGGACCATTTCCTTCTTCTCCCCCGCTTGTAGTCCTGTCCTTGCCGGATCGTCCAGAGGTACGTAGCGCCTTCTCTACGATCGCAGCCACCTCCTCCTCGTCGTAGCCGGAGTTAAAAAACTCACAAATCATGTCGGAAGGCATCGGCGATTGCGACTCCGATGAGTTATCACCCGCCTCCCCATCCTCCTCATCGTCTTCGTCATCGGCCAGCGCCCAAAAACGGCCCCCGACTCGCCGCCGTCCATTGTGGGAAGAGGCCGAAGTGCGCGCAGGGGCGGCGGTCGCCCCTGCGGTCGCCTCCCCCACCGCCCTCCACTCAAACTGATGATGCTGATGATGATTGCTTCATATTTGTTCGACTCTCTGAACTTCTTCAGTCACCACTGCTATGTTGGTCCTGCATTTCTCGTGCAGGACCAACATAGCAGTGGTGACTGAATAAGAGAAGCGGATGATGCCGAGCCAAGTGGCTGCCTTTGTTTTCAACCCGAGAGGGAGAGCCAGGCTTGAAAGCGAATTGGGCATTTTTCAAACTACCAGCACGGCAGCTACCCAACCGCAATTCTTTCTAGTCATGCTGTTGTCGCGTGTGGTAGGTAGGAGTGGGGAGCCCATGGGCGATTGGCTTCGCAATCCATTTGCGCATTTGCGCCTGCCCACTAGTGGCGATAATCATCATCAGTGCAACTTGAGCAAAGGGCCTTTTGCCATAACTAAGTGTACTATAGCGAGCATGATTTTCACTTTCAGCACAATTTAATCGAAACTTCAGAAATTCCATTACTATCGGTACTTCGGTAGATACTCAAGAAATTGCCTTTTGGTCAAGATATTTCAGCGATTACGGTAGTACACACAAATTATTGTTCAAACAATTCTTAAATTACTATTTGAAATTTCAAAATACAAGGTGGAATCTGAACCAAATTAAAGTGTAAAGTTTCGGTCCATTGGCCGAAACGAAAACTGAAAAATTCATTGATTTTGGTTATGACTGTAATATTTTGAAATTTAAAACCAGCTAGCAAGTCACAAGTCAGGCGATCTCAATAAATAAAATAAAAATAAAAAGAGCAAGTCAGGGGCTCACACTGACACCTAGAAGACAAATCTTGCAGCTACATATATGGATGTATGAGTGATGAGTTTAACCAAGTGGCTTCTTTTGAACCAATCGAAGGGAAGCTAGTACTGTTCAGTGCTCTTTACTAGCTAAGAATAGGTGAAATGGAAGTCATCTCATGGCTCAAATGCTAGGTGACAAACTTGATTCGCAGCCAACAGTGTGGAGAAAGGCAATCTGAAAAGGTAGATATCTGCAATCATAAGCACCAAAGATTCACCCAAAGCAAATGCATGTATATTATACTCACTCCGTTTTTTAAATATAAGACCTTTTGAAGATTTCAATACAAACTACATACAGATGTATATAGATGCATTTTAAAGTGTAGATTCATTCATTTTGCTTTGTATGTATTCCGTATTGGAATCTTTAAAAATGCTTATATTTAGAAACGGAGGGAGCATTGTAGGAGCAAAACATTTTACTAGGACAGTAATAATACAAGCAAAAAAGAAGCCACATAGTATTAGCATGATTCACCCCAAAATACAACGACAATATCTTTAGGTAAAGCTGCGGGGCCGCCATGGCAGAGCAGCTACACAATCAACAACAACGCCACACGTCGATCAACACCAACGCACGAACAACGAAAGGCAAAAGGCGACAGGAATTGAAGAAGAAGAACATGCACGAACGAATTAAGCGTCTTATTTTTGGATGTACTCTGGAAGCCTCCTCCTCCTCTCCTCCACGGTGGCCCCGGCGATGCTTCAGACGTTGATGGGCAGGGGCTCGCCGTTCCACTCCTTGAGGCACTCCAGCATGGGGTCGATGAGCTTGTTCTGGCTGATGCCCAGGAAGACCTTGGTGCACTCCTCGCCGGGGGACAGCAGCTTCTCGCCGGTGAGGTACACGCAGCCGAGCTCCTCGCGGACGAAGCGGTACAGCGGGAACGACCTGCTCTCCTTGATCAGGTTGGGGATGGGCGCCGTGCCGTTCTCGAAGGCCACGCGGGCGGCCTCGATCTCCCGCGGCAGGGCCGACCGCAGCTCCTCCTCGAACTTGTTGATCTTGGAGAACACCGTGGCCTCGCTCTCGGCCTCGCCGGCGCCGGCGGTCAGGGCGTGGTCGACCAGCACGGCGCGCAGCTTCTGCATCAGCGGGTAGTTGGCGCTGCAGGCGTCGTCGGCGTAGCTGAACACGGCCTCGCGGTCGATGGCGGTGATGAGGCTCTTCTCGCTGAAGCGCGCGCTGGAGAGGTCGCCGGTGGGGTTCATGGTCAGCACCTTCTTCGACACCTGCGTCACGCAGTTCTTCACGGAGGTCTTGATGTTCTCCTCCAGGTGGCGGAGGTCGATGGCCTGGCACAGCGCCACCATGTATGTGGAGGACATGAGCTTGAGAATGTCCACAGCCTCGGCGGTCTTCCTGGCCGAGACAAGCCCCAGAGAGTTCACGTCCTGGTTGTGCTGCTCGGCACTCTGGACATGGTTGGTCACCGGGTTGGCAAGGTACTGGAGCTCAGAGCAGTAGGAAGCCATGGCGATCTCGGTGCCCTTGAAGCCGTAGTCCAGGCTGGGGTTGCGGCTGCCAGCCAGGTTGGAGGTCAGCCCGTTGTTGTAGAACTCGTTGACGAGCTCCGAGAACTGCGCGAACATGAGCTTGCCAATGTTGGCGATGGCGAGACGGGTGTTGTCCATGGACACACCGATGGGCGTGCCCTGGAAGTTGCCGCCATGGAGCGCCTTGCCACGGTGGACGTCGATGACGGGGTTGTCGTTGACGGAGTTGACCTCGCGCTCGATGGACTTGGTGGCAGACCGGATGACCTCGATCTGGGGGCCGAGCCACTGCGGCGACGTGCGGAGCGCGTACCTGTCTTGCTTGGGCTTGAGCTGCGTGTCAATCTCGTTGACCTTCTTGGCGTGGCCCATGAAGGCGCTGCCGGCCAGGATGTGCTCCATGATGGCCGCGGCCTCGATGGAGCCCGGGTGGTGCTTGAGCTTGTGGGTGAGGTGGTCGGTGAACTCGGGCTTGCCGTTCATCACCTCGCAGAAGACGGCGGACAGGACCTCGGAGAGAACAGCGAGGACGTTGCAGTCGAACAGCACCGTGGCCGCGAGCGCAGAGCCCACGGACGTGCCGTTGACAATGGCGAGCCCCTCCTTGGGGTTGAGCTTGAAGAAGCCGCCCTCGATGCCAGCGGCCTTGAACGCCTCGGCGGCGTCCACCTTCTTCCCGTCAACAGTGGTGGCCTGCGCGTTGGGGCGTCCGGTGATGAGGCCGGCGATGTAGGACAGTGGCACAAGGTCGCCGGAGGCGGTGATGGTGCCCCGGAGCGGGAGGCAGGGGCTGACGCCGGTGTTGAGCAGCTTGGTGATGGCCTCGAGGATCTCGAAGCGGATGCCGGAGTAGCCCTGGAGGAGGGTGTTGATGCGCACGAGCATGGCCGCACGGGACACCTCCGCCGGCAGCGAGTGGCCATCGGCGCCGGGGCCAAAGATTCCAGCGTTCAGATGCCTGTACGGAAGACAAGGACATGCATATGGTTCGTTAGTTGCAGGTGAAGTAAACAGATAAGGACGGAGATGTACTGCTAGAAGTACGTAGCGGTAGAGTTAGTCGCTGGATCATGTCCTCTGTTAGAGCTGGAAGTCAGAGCATGATGCTCAAACAACGTAGAAGTAGTAAACAATATTTTTGTGTGTCTTTGGATATGATGGATGACTTGGCTCCCTGCTAACTGGCAGAGATCTGCACTGCATACAATGAGTATCTAAAGATATTTTCTGAAAGTTCTACTATATCTAAAGAGTTTATACCTTTTCTTTGCGGTACAGAAAACTTGTTGATGGGTTACACAGCCTATAAGCATGTTCATCTAGGCAACTTCAGTGTCCAGTTTATACCTTTTCCGTGGCACATTTTGGCTGAGCATGCCAAGGAATTCCGCATGCCAATTCACCCGACCGGCACAGGCGCAGGTGTCCTACGCGTGACTCGTTTATCGGGGACGCATGTGCTTGTGCATGTTCCCGGCCGGCCTCGCGGGGCGGGAGCGCGACGCGACGCGACGCGAACCAACTGACCGACGAAGCCCCGGCACGGTCCACATCCGCTTAATTAGATCTGCCTCTTGTTTAACTTCTTTCTTTCTTTCTTTCTTTTTCACTACTGTGTGCTTCCATCGACTTGTCACCGTCGATCTACTATGCAGCAAGCACGGCATGGCACGCAGTTTAAAGCCTCAGCTTTAAATGCCTATGATCTGTCTATTTTTCGTTTCTCATCAGGACGTGCTGATGTACACACCTGCATGAGGTAACGGTTCTGGCCACTACCATGATGAGAGACGTATTTACTGTGGTATTTTGTTTCCAATTTTGCCAGGCTCCTTTCCATGGCTGTGCAGGCCACGGCACATGAATCCCAGGAGGCTACAGCTAGGCAAAAGCTAGCACTTTTTTGTTTGCTTTGCTTAAAACACGAAAAGTTTCATAGTTATTTGACTGACGGATGGGCCCAACGCATGGAGTGAGTAAAACATGCATGATCTGGACGCTGATCGCCGAGATCAAGAGATTTGGGGGTGAATTGGTTACCTGAGGAGCTCCACCTGGAGGGCGGGCCCGTCCTTGGTGCGGCGGTGGGAGGTGCCGCCGAAGCCGGTGGTGACGCCGTAGATGTCGCCGCCGCCGGCGAGGCAGCTGAGGATCCACTCGCTGCTGGCCTTGACGCGGGGCCGCGCCTCCTCGTCGAGCTCCACGGAGATGCCCGACGCGTCCTTGGCCTGGGCCACGGCCGCCACCTGGCCGACGCGGAGGCTGGCGCCCTCGATCTTCACCACGGGCTCGCGGAACTGCGCCACCATCCGCTTCACCTCGTCGAGGTGGCTGCCGGTGAGCTCGGCCGCCGCCGCGCCCCAGTTGAGCGGGTCCTTCTCGACGATGGCTCCGTTGCCTGCCATTCTCTCGGTGGGTGGTGGTGGTGGCCGGCGAACTGCGCGGAGGAGGAGGAGGAGCAGGAGAGCCGAAGAAGAGCCGGAGGAGATGGTGGTGAGCTCTTCTTGGAGGGAAACGGGAGCGGAGTGGCCAGCTTAAATAGCGCCGGGGTGGCGAGGTAGGCGGGTTTAGGTGGGCGAGGACCCCTATCCATCCAGCGGCCTCCTCCTCTCTGCAGCAGCGCTACTGCCTAGTGGGTTGGTTGGTGACTGATACGCTGGATCTGCCAAAGTTTTTGCTAATATTCTACTCTTAAGAGAATATTAGTACTAATTTCTCATAAAAGTTATTTCATTTACCTGGATGTAATGGCTGAAAATCTGCCATTTATTGCCAGATAAACATTGTACTCCTGAACAGCACGGTTACTAAATACAGAGAAGATTAAGAGAGACAGCCTAGGATCGGGGAACAGCTACAAATTTACATGTGCGTGTTCTTTTTTTTGTCTCTTATATTATTATTATTATCATAATAAATATTTTTTATCTTCTTCCTGCGAACGTCCTGAAAATAAACATTTTTAAAATTTGTTTCTACAGAAGAGAAAGCTAAAGGAGGGAGCCAGGAGCAGAGAAAAAGAAGGGAGAAACAGCCTCACCAACCCTGAAAAGGAGAATCAGGTTTATTTTTTCGAGTGGAGAAAGGGAAAATCAAGTACTCCTAGAAACCAAAGTTGTTGGCGAGGTAACTTTTGCGGTGCCCCGCAGCCTCTCGCGCGCTGAATTACTAAAATCCGTGGGATTTCGTCTTGTTCAGCCTATCCAGTTGTATGTGCGTCGGTGTTCGCACTGCCTTTGCTAGCTTGCGGTCATATTAACCTTGCCTAGTGGCCTCTGTCCCACTCAGTACAACATCGTTCTTCCCATCCACTCATTAAAACTTGGCAATGCTCCGGTGGTACCAAAATGATCATAGGATACATGCATGTTTTGGAGACGGACGGACGGTATTATAAAAGAACAAATGTGTTTTGGCACAATGTAATGCTTTTTTGTTTTATACTTTAACATCTATGTATAAAAGAACACATGTGTTTTGGCATAATGTAATGCTTTCTGTTTTACTTTAACAGCTAAAAAGCAAAGGTAGGCGTGAAGGAGCATGTATCTTCATCGGTTTCAGGCTTTTACTCCAAATTTTTTATGATTTAATTTGCTCCGTTTAACTAGTGGCACATCATCAGATTTACCAGTATAATTGCCTTTTTTTAGAGAACAAAGGAGTTTCATTGCTCAGTAATGTTTAAAGGGATAGAAGCGGGGTCCGCAGGCCCCGAAAACAAAACATGTCAACCCTTGCTGTTTTTTTTAGAAAGGAGGATGACCTCTGGCCTCTACATCTGGGCGATGCATACGACCACTGTCAACCCTCGCTGTGGGAGGATGAAAATTTCGATAAAGCATGCGCATCCCTATTGAACTCACTCCGCTCATCGTCGAAGATGACCAACTAGAATATATTCTTCCCGCTTTCAATCTCCTTCAAAATCGCTGCTTAGCTCGTGAGTTTATTTCCAAGTTGCGGAGTTTTTTTATCACTTCTTAGTTACTGCAGGTTTTAATCGAGCGACATGTTTGAGATCTTTGTTACTATAGGTTTTAATCGGGCGGTCTAACAATTTCTTAGCCCAACAAGCTGTTCAATTCCAATAAATACATCCTTCATGGAACTTCTTAGTACGTAGACAACGGTATGCATACCTTTATACTCGTACTTTATATCAACTTTTCCTCACAAGAAAATAGGAGGAATTATGTCAGCCTTATTTAGTTTATCAAAAGAAGTAGCCTATTCGTTGGCCTAGAAAGCATGTAATTCATCATAGACGATTCAAACGTTGAAGTGACTGTCTAACTATCTCAAAGTAGTACTCTTGGGAGATGCGACTTCTACCATGAGAAACAGAAACACGGGATCTATGAAAAAAAAGATGTCATAATAAGTGTTGTACCTGTGATCCACGTTTTAAAGACCTTATCACCTTGAGATTCCCTGATGGATGAATAAGGTAGGCTATACAACGGGTTGGAGCCCTGACTACTCTCATAGTAGTTTCGCCCTCGGGGCACATCGATTTCCGAAGAAGTATGTATATGAGAAGGGTGATGGGGAAAAGAAGGGCGACACCTTAAATAGATGTTGGGTTACCTTTGGAAAGAGTCGTCTGCCACAAGTTTGATTATTTTGCCTTTATGTGGGCCGGATAACGTGAATGGTTCTACCCTCAAGGGCCGCGTTAAATTTTGAGAGTGACAATGTCTCTCGATTTGTCGGTACCTATTTTAGGTGAGCACTTTTTTGTCGTGCAACTATGTAGAAGATATGTCATGCCAAATCTTGGCACCCGAGGGCATTGCGTGAATGAGGTGGTTTGCATGTCGTGTTAATTTATATGTCTCATTTGTGTATTCTATCAAGAATCTTTGTAGTATGATTTAGGACGAGTTTATAGATTGGTCAAGAAAATTGTCTCGAACTCAAGTAGATAAATGTTGCTTTAGACCTTCCTAATGATCAACTTTGGCAAAATAAAGTCTTGTAACACTATATGCCAAGTATAAGAATGAGAAGTACAACTAATATTCTTCATAACTATTTATATAATGCCTTCCATCGTGACTTAAAAACCTTTGCTTATATAATTATGTTTTTATTGTGAACAACCCGAAATTACATCTAGAAGTGGTGTGTACTTGGCTTTACAGAGATAAGATTGATGAATAGCTTTATAGTTGGTTCGGTCAAACAATGTGGTTCCAACAAGACTCTAACTTCCATAATAGGTTGCCCCATTAATGTGATCTTCTTCTAAATTTCACATTTAAATCTTTTGCTTCTTGATTAGCCCCGGTGACTAGTTAGCCCATTCACTTAGCTGAAATTAATTTTACCCTAGGATGGTTTATTCTTGATGTAGTCCATCATCTCGATGAGGTGATTCACGAGATCAAGCGCACCTGGATTTGGATAAGGATTATGATTGGTTAGCTCATCCCTTTTTTATTGGAGTGACTTTGAAGAAGGACTTTTCCTTGGGTTTGATCTTCCACATTATGTAGTCTCGGGAAGCTATAAATATTAACATTGAGGTGGGGCCATTTTATTAGAATGCCTTCCCCTTAAACTTTGTGGTTAATGACCTCTTCTTCAATTTTGTGATCAACATTCTCATCTTCAACTTTGTGGTCAATGCACTAGCAACAATTCCACAATTTCTAGGCATCTGGGGAAATCAAGGGGGTGATGTTGCACCTAATTTGAGGGTGTCGTTGGTAGGGGACATGGTTTCAACATGTTGATAATACACTAATTTGAGGGTGTGGTTGGGGAGAGACATGGTTTCAACATGTTGATAATACCCTTATTATGATCCAACTAGAAGATATTGATGTCCTTATGTAGGATCGAAGATGGTGTCTAGAGGGAAGGGTGAATACACAAATATGAAAATTAGCCTTTTAGTTTGTGTGTTTTAAGGTAATTATTCCTAGTTGTCTAACATGCAAGTCTACAAAAGAAAGAGGAGAAGTGAAACTAGCAATAAGTAAATAGTAAGGAAAAGGAAGCACAAACACTGAGACATTTCTTGAGGTTCATACTGTTAGCGGAACCTACACTATTTGGTGGAGGTTGAGGCACAAAGTCCTAGGACCACAAAGGTCTTGGCTAGGTTGACCACTGTAACACCCCGGATGTAACTTTCCCAATTTGTACTCCAACTCTTGCCGTTTCTGGCGTTAAGTTATATTTATTCCTCGGGTTCGGGTCTTTGTCTCCGTGTGTTGTTTTCGTTTTCATGCATCTCATATCATATCATCATGTGCATTGCATTTGCATACATGTTCGTCTCATGTATCCGAGCATTTTCCCCGTTGTCCGTTTTGCATTCCGGCGCTTTGTTCTCCTCCGGTGGTCATTTCTAGCTTTCTTTCTTGTGTGGGGATTAAACATTTCCGGATTGGACCGAGACTTGTCATGCGGCCTTGTTTTACTACCAGTAGACCGCCTGTCAAGTTTCGTATCAATTGGACTTCGTTTGATACTCCAACGGTTAACCGAGGGACCGAAAAGGCCTCGTGTGTGTTGCAGCCCAACACCCCTTCAATTTGGCCCAAAACCCACCAAACTCTGCTCCATGTCCTAGAGCGTTCGATCACGATCGCGTGGCCGAAAACCGCACCTCATTTGGACTATCCTACCTCCCTCTATGCCTATATATACACCCCTCCGTTTTCGGATCATCTCCCCTCTCGAAACCCTAAAAAAAGATCCACCGCACCGGCCGGACACGTCCGATCCGACCGGACGCATCGCCGCAGCCAGCCAGGCGACGCCACGTGGCGGGCGGACCACATCCCCGCCGCCTCCCAGCCGCCGGCCCGCAAGGCCCGGGGCCGGCCCTCTCCTTCGCCCGACCGGGCCCGAGGCCAGCACCTCGCCCGCGCCTTTCTTCTCCGGTGGCCGGAGCCGCCACCCGCCACTGCGGGCGCCGCCGCGCCCTTCTTCTCCGACGACCGCCGCTCGCCGCCACCATCGCCGCCGCACTGCCCGGCGCCGAGCCCGGCCGCCACCGACCTCGCACCGCCGGCCATCGCCGGATCCGGCCAGGCCCCGCCGTCCTCTTCCTCCTACTCCCACGCCGGCCTTCTTCCCCGTCAAGTCCGGCGAGCTGCTACAGTAACTCCGGCGTGCATCGGGAAGCGTGCGGATCTGGATCCAGATCTGAGAAATTCATCTCGGTTGACTTTTTCGTCCCTAACCCTAAATTTTTGTGCATACTTTGACCAGTGATATCTCCGCATCCGTAGCTCCATTTTGGACACGTAGTATATCAAAATGTTCGCCTCGACGAGTACATCATTTCATTCCATTGCACCATTTTCATTTGAGCTCATCTTG